TTTGGGTCGCCAGAAGGTCCAACCTCAGGAAGAATTGCTTCAGAAAGGTACCAGGGTCCCCAGCCAACATAGGGTGGGTTTCTGCGCATCGAGCAGGAGTATTCTGAGGACAGGGACACACGAGCCCCTTAAGAAAAAACTTCGCATTGACGTGAAGTTGCAAGGGGTTCCCTTATTGATGGAGTTGGACACAGGGTCCATTCTATCAATCATTTCACTTGACACCTTCAAAAGGATTTGCAGCAGTAGTGGCCTTCGAGTTAAACTCAGGCCATCAAATCTAATACTCACTGTTTTTCAAAATTCCAAAGTCAGTGTAAAGGGGAAGGCCACACTCAAAGTGCAGCATAAGGATTTTGAGGGTTTCCTAGATGTGATGGTTGTTAGGGGTGAACACACGAGTCTTATTGGACTCGATTGGTTCGAGGCCCTGGGAATCCAAGTGACTGGGCTGCACAATTTGCAAACGTTGGGTCTTGCAGAAGTCTGCAAGGAGTTTGTTGATGTGTTCAGTTCAGAGCTAGAATCCTACAAGGGGCCTCCCATTGCATTATGTTTAGACCCCACTATCACACCCATCAGGGTCAAGCCTAGAAGGGTGCCTTTTGCCCTCAAAAGCAAGATAGATGTGGAGCTGGACAAATTGCTCCAGCAGGGCATCTTAGAACCTGTGGACTCTAGTCCATGGGAAACCCCCATAGTAACGCCTCTAAAGGCTAATGGGGAAGTCCACATATGTGCACACTATAAGTGCACACTGAATAAAGCATTGCAACAACACACATATCCAGTGCCTGTTGTATGCCACATTCTGGCCTCCCTCAAAGGGGGGGTGCATTTTTGCGAAACTTGATCTGGCACAGGCCTATCAACAGCTACCTGTTGATGAGGCATCTGCAGAGGCCCAGATGATTGTAACACACAGTGGGGCCTTTAAAGTCAAAAGGCTGCAATTTGGGGTAAATGTAGCCCCTGGCATATTCCAAAGTGTCATGGAGCGCAAACTTTGTGGTATTTCTGGGGTCTGTCCCTACTTCGATGACATCCTCATTGCTGGGGAATCATCTCAAAATTTAGCAGAAAGGTTAAGGGCTGTCTTGCTTTATTTCCGCAAATTAAATTGAAGCAGGATAAATGCAATGTAAGAGTCACTTCTATTGACTTCTTAGGGTTCAGAATGGATGCCCAAGGCATTCACACTGCTGAATCCAAGCTGCAAGCGATTCAGCAGTCCCCAAGGCTCAGTCCAAAAGTGAGCTGCAAGCCTTCTTGGGGCTTTTAAATTTCTATCATGAATTCCTTCCACATAAGGCTGTAGTGGCAGAGCCGTTACACCAGCTCTTAGATAAGCAAGCTCCCTGGCAGTGGACTAAAGTCCATGAAATGAGTTTCAATGAGGTTAAGGCCTTGCTCTCTTCAAATGCTGTGTTAGCGCATTTCAATGAGCAACTGTCTGTATGCATCGCATGCGATGCATCTCCTTATGGGGTGGGAGCAGTACTTAGCCATCTGAAGGCTGATTGGACGCAAGTCCCTGTGGCCTACTACTCAAGGACTCTGTCATCTGCAGAGTGGAATTATGCTCAGATTGACAGGAAGCCTTGGCATAGTGGCGGGCATAAAGAAATTCCATGATTTCTTATAGGGCCTCCACTTCACGGTCTACACAGACCATAAGCCTCTGCTGGGTTTGTTTACCACTAACAAACAGACACCACATATTATTTCTCCATGTATGCTGAGATGGTCCATTATCCTATCAGCATATGATTACATTCTAATTCACAAACCAGGAAAAGAGATGGGCCATGCAGATGGCCTCAGCAGATTACTTCTTACACAGATAGAGGCAGATCCTGCTCCTGCTATTAATATTCTTTCTATTCAGGAGTTGCCTGAATCTCTCCTAAATGCTAGAGACGTGGCTGCAGAAACTGCCACTGATCACACGCTCACACGCATGCTGACCTGGTGTTGTCAGGATGGCCTGACACATGCCCAGATACTGAGTTTCAAAGCTTCTGGAGAAGGAAGCATGAACTTTCCACTTTCAAGGGGTGCCTGTAATGGGGGAGTAGAGTAGTGATCCCAGCCTCATTGAGGTCTAGAATCTTGCTCTCTCTGCATGAGGGACATCCAGGTATAGTAAGGATGAAAGGGCTTTCACGCAGACATCTTTGGTGGCCTGGGCTCGCTAAAGCCATTGAGGCTCAGGTGCACGGGTACCAAGCATGCCAACAGTCATGGACTGAAATGCCTCAGGCCCCAGTACATAGGTGGGAGGAAACTCAAGCCCCATGGTCACATGTACATATAGATTATGCTGGGCCTTTTCAGGAGCAATTCTTCCTTCTCCTCATTGACAGCCATTCCAAGTGACTAGAGGTTGTTCCTGTTTCCTCCACTACCTTACCAGGACCACCCAGGTGTTGAGAAGAATTTTTGCCTCACATGGGCTTCCAGATGTCCTGGTTTCAGATTATGGCCCTCAATTTACCTCTTTTGAGTTCCAGGCTTTTCTTCAGGCCAATTTGATCTGGCATGCAACTTCTTCTCCCTTCTACCAATGGCCAAGCAGAGAGAATGGTGTGCACTACCAAAGATGCTCTCAAGAAACTGACTTACTGTAACTGGCATCACAGGTTAGCAGATTTTCTTCTTGCACACTGCACCACACCTTGTACAGCCACAGGGAGGAGCCCAGCAGAACTCTGCTGGGGTCACCGCCTCATCACCAAACTGGACAGGTTGCACTCAGACCGGGTGGCTTCACAGGTATCACAACTGCGGGCACCTAGAAGACTTCAGGTGGGCAATCTGGTCTGGGCAAGGAACTATGGGCCTGGATGTCTCTGGGTCACAGCAGTGTCTCTGGGCCGCTGTCATACGAAGTAGCCTTGGACGATGGTTGTGTTCTTCACAGACACATACACCAACTGCGTTGGAGGCTGGTCAGCCATGTTTCCGCTCCTGGCTCTGCTCTGGGGGGGAGGAGGACCATAATATGCATTCTGGGTCACAGATTCCCAGGAGTTCTGGGTCACAGATTCCCAGGCCTAATAGTGGCTCACAAGCTGCTGAGGCTGTTTGGGGGTCATCTCAAGTTTCGGCAAGTGCGCCGAACAGGAATTCCCAGGAAGGGGGGGTCACCCTGCACATCCATTATTGCTCCAGACAGGGAGTCACACTGGGGGTATCCACATTATTCAAACATGTCAGATAGTGCTTCAGACAGGGAGAAACACCGAGGGTATCCACACAAATAATAATAATAATAATAGTGAAGTTGGAAGGGACCTTGGAGGTCATCTAGTCCAACCCCCTGCTCGGGCAGGAAACCCTACACCATTTCGGACAAATGGCTGTCCAGTCTCTTCTTAAAAACTTCCAGTGTTGGAGCATTTACTGCTTCTGGAGGCAAGCTGTTCCACTGATTAATTGTTCTCACTGTCAGGAAGTTTCTCCTTAGTTCTAGGTTGCTTCTCTCCTTGATTAGTTTCCACCCGTTGCTTCTTGTCCTGCCTTCAGGTGCTTTGGAAAATAGCTTAATTCCCTCTTCTTTATGGCAGCCCCTGAGATATTGGAATACTGCTATCATGTCCCCCCTTGTCCTTCTCTTCGTTAAACTAGACATACCCAATTCTAGCAACCGTTCCTTATATGTTTTAGCCTCCAGTCCCCTAATCATCTTTGTTGCTCTTCTCTGTACTCTTTCTAGAGTCTCAACATCTTTTTTACATCGTGGTGACCAAAACTGGATGCAGTATTCCAAGTGTGGCCTTACCAAGGCATTGAAGAGTGGTATTAATACTTCACGTGATCTTGATTCTATCCCTCTGTTAATGCAGCCTAGCACTGTGTTGGCCTTTTTGGCAGCTGCAGCACACTGCTGGCTCATATTTAAGTGATTGTCTACTAGGACTCCGAGGTCCCTCTCACAGTTACTACTATTGAGCATGGTGCCACCTATGCTGTACTTGTGCATTTGGTTTTTCTTGCCCAAATCAAACACAGCCATAGATAGGGAATTCCATCATGGGCACTCTCATAATTCAGCTATTGCTCCCAAAAGGAAGTCAGTAGCAAGAGGGTTTACCATGGAGGCGGCTCTTGAATCTGGCACCTCTGGCACGTGCACGGGGGCTACGGAGTACTGGGGCACTTCTGCCACTCAGGCCTCTCCAACTGCTGGCCTCGAGGGACAGTGTTCCTAAGAGGAGTCCATTGTGGACTCGGGGACTTCCACCCCTCCAAGATACACTGTCTTGGACTCAGAGGGTCCAGCCAGTCAGCAGCTGGGTGGGTCACCTGAGTATTTGGGGCATCAAAACCCTGGCCTGCCTAGCTTGATAGGCAAGCAGGTAGGCCAGGCAAACTCACCGGCCCTTAGAAGGTCGCAGCGAGCCAAGTGCCCACCTAAACATCTAGGAGATTATGTGAGGTTTCTGTCAACACATGAGGAACCTTGCTATTAGGTCGCTGAATGAGGGGATTAACACGCGGTACTGAGTCTCATATGCTATTATGATTTTGGATACATTTTATTTAAGTTAATAATTATTTGTAAGGTGTTTTGCCTGCATGCAGACCCAAGCATTTCCACTCTCCCTGCATTTGAAAAACGAATCTGTGTGTAAGCTAGGTGTGATTTATCTAGGGGGGAGGGGTGTTGTATCCTGAGCCTGCAAGAGCTGAAAGCAGGCTCAGAATTGTTGCAAATGGTCCCAGGCAATCTAAAAGCTGCCCGGAACCAGACAGGGTGGTGCCAGCCTTGTGCGCATGCACAAGGAGTGAAAATGGTCAATTCCTATTGGTTCACATTGTTTGGGTTTCATGCCCTATAAAAAGGCCTGCATGCCTTTGCTGATCGCTTGGTTGTAGGAAAGAGTAATAAAGAGCTTGTTGTTTTTCACCATGTGTCTTCGTCAATTGCCAATGAACCAAAAACACAACAGTATCTTTAATCATAATTCACTTGTCTCCTTGTTTCTTTTTCACAGGCAGTACAGCAATGTGTGCTATATTGAAGAAGGATCCTGCTTTTATCATGTCTGTCCTCATGACTACTACTCCATTGGACAAATGGATTGTGCTCGTGATCAAATGTGTTGTAGACAGGAAAAAATCAAAACAACTGCACAGCCAACCAGTGACAGCACAGACCCTCAACCAACCAATGCAAGCCTCCCCACCAGCAGTTCACCTACCAATGAAACTAATGTAACCTCCCCATCACAAGATCCATCACAAGCCTTTCACTGATGACTTACACTTGACCCATCACAAGACTCTCACTTGACACACCCACACCTGAAACACTTATAAACAGAAGACCATTGACACTGACATCCCCTAAATTCTGCTGAAGATGTTACCTAGCTTGGTAATGAAACATTTGGAAACCAACCCACAAGTTTGGAGAACAAACCTTCACTCTCACAGAAAGAAAACCCTTCCCTAATAGAGATGCTGCAGATATAAAATGGGATAATTTGCCTGAATTAACAAAACATTGCAAGGCAATGACTTGAAAAGGAAAAGTCTTTACAGGGAAAATCTATGTAGAAAGATGTTTTGGAAAGAATAGGTTTTGCGGTTCAGGGTACAGAATAAACACTGAACACACATTGATCAACCTATTATTTTATATCATTAGGCAACCAATAAAATGAGACCATTTCCATTTGCTAGCCTGGATATCTTCAAGATATGGCTAATGACCTGACATCACCACCTACTATCACTTTATCTTTCTTTGTATAAATCAAAATTGCTATCTATCAGACTCTTAACATTTATGCATTGAAGTAAAATTTGGCATTTTTTCCTTGAAATACAGCTAAATGAGCATGCAGTTCTTGTGTGACTTCTTTAAGAGGGGCTTGGGGCAGTATATTCATTAGATTGCATGAATGTCTGTATGCATATGTGTGTGTGTACTTTCACATATATCTTTCTTTAAATTTCTCCACTTTTCAAGCACATGTTATGTCATATAGTATTTCTTCCATTTATATCTGGGCTATTAATCATAGACCACTGGGGAAAAAATAAATACAAATAATAAAGTAATTACCAATATAAGCTTTAGATCAATTTTTGCTTGTAAAAAAATGGTCTAAGGCTTACATTGATAATTACTTTATTGTATAACTGCTTTTATACAAACTCTCACCAGTCATATGGAATAGAATATTCTTTATTTGATGGAAAAAAGTCAGGCTAAAGTTCCTCAGGCTGACCTGAAACATGGGAGAAGAGATAAAAGAAGAACCTTCTACAGATTTTTGTAGAAATGATAATGTAACATCAGATGACAGATGAACTCAACATGAACCCTCACCATGAGGTCAGGTTTGACTGGCCATAGGAATTTCATTAAATATGTGCTGAGGGAAAGCCGCTAAAAGTATTGAGATTTTATGGAAAAAGTCAATAACTTTCTGGTACATTGTTCAAAACAACAACATCAACAGAACTCAATTTATGAAATAATCACATAGCAGACTAGATAGGTTTGAATATGAACTCATTAATATATGAGTTCAATATATAGTTTGGCTGATAACAGTGATTTACATGATGATTAAGAGTTTAGTCAGGTTCCCATTCCAATTTTATTGTCAGGTTGATTGATTTTTCAAAAGTTCTCTCTGTTCAAGGACTAGTAGCCTTCATGCAGCTCTTGCTAAATGGGAAATCTCCCGGTCCAAAGGGCTTTCCAGGAAAATGATATGAAGCATTTGTAATGTTCCTAGATCCTGACTTTTGGAGGCATGTCATAAATCTTTTATAGATGGCAAATGCCCAGCTCCCCTCTGGCCAGCATTCAGACCCATTAATCAACTCAGTTTCTGACATGCCAGGAATTGGCTCATTCTCCCCTGAGCTGACATCTGAGGAGATATCTGGGGAATCATGCAAGGAAGACATCACATCTGTGTGAGCAGGGGGTTGGACTAGAAGACCTCTAATGTCCTTTCCAACTCTGTTATTCATTTATTCCATTACATTAAATAGTAAGGTTGTAGAACAAATAATTCACTCCTTCCAGTAGTTCATCAACAATGGTCAAAAATCAGACAGTTTACTTCTATTTATTGATATGTGGGATATGGCCCAGAATTGGATTAACTGTGCTGTGTTACTATCTGAGAGCCAAAAATAGTCTTTGATTTGGTTCAGATTAATTTTTTAAAACAGGTGATGAATAAATACTGTTATCTACAGAGTTCAATGGGTTGAGAATTAATATTTCAAATCCTGCAACATAATTATTTAAAATCAAATGATTTCATTTTCTTTTGATGTACAATGTGGCACTCAGCAGGGCTCTCTCTTTCAACCTTGATATTTAATTTGATCCTTGAACCTTTGGACACTTTTTTAAAGCAATATACATGAAGTGTCTTACTTTGGCATGGAGTAAATATAAATTAGTTCTATATGCTCTGATATTTTAACAATTTTGGACCAGAATTCTAACTCTCTACCTTATTTTGTGAAGCAAGTACATAATTTTGGAATATATTCTGCTTATAATAGGGATTCATAAATATTATATAATGACAGTTTTCAGGATTTCTCCTGATTTCAAATTTAATTTGTTCACACCAGAGGCAATATTTTCAACTAAAGCACATTTTTAACAGCTCAGTATGGGACCAATACTTTAGTGCTTCAAAGGCACCTGAGATACTCTCTTATAGGCAAAATCCATGAGAAAAATAAAACCCACCTTGTATCATGAGCATCTTTGGAATACTAAAAATGTTTCCCAATCAAGACTAGGACTAAATCTTCATAATGATGGTAGGGGTAACCCCAGAGCTGCTTTATAAACTCATCATTGGAACCCATGAACCTGTAAGCTTAATGTCAGTAATTGCATTCAGTAAGAAGGAATCATGGAGAAGGCTAAGATAGTGGGAACAACTGTCGGCTTGAAACAAAGATAGGCTCAGGGAAAGAGTCTCAGATTCCTCCTAGCCATGAAGATACGGTGGAGGATGTGGGTTGCCCTGAAAAAGGATTTTTGCAGAATGTTGGCAAAATTTGAGGTGAAGACTTGTAGTGGGCAGAAGGAATGACCTTGAGGAAGAGGAGGAAGTGCTGCTGCCAAGAGAATGGTCAGGTAAAAGACTTGATTCCAGCAGAATGAGAAACTATCTCAGACAAGACTCTACCTAGTTCTCACAAGAATAATGGGAGGGAGGATGTAAACCCTTTCAAGCTTTCAAGACTCACTTACTTTAACCCTATATTAAAAGTGGTATCACCCTGCATGACTACAGTTTCTTAGTTTGGTCTATCTTAAAAAGTTCACAACCACTAAGGAAAACCATTCTCAAAGGCAAGTTTGATTCAGGACCTCTTCGTAAGAAGTCATGGCAGCCAAGGAGGAGGATGGAAAAGGGGAAAATAATACTCAGAGTCTAGGAGAAATTGGGGTTATTATTTCAGATTAGGAGTCATTCCTGTACCAAAGATCAGACACAATATTCCCAAGGCAATGCGTAATTGCACCCAACTGCTTCAGGTAAGAGCAAAGAGAGTACCAGAACCTGCAGAATCTGATAAAGTAGAAGCCAAGTGCTTGATATCTTGTTCTCAATCAATACTATCTGGAACCAATCCTTAAAAAAGAAAGAGAAACAGCACAGTACTATGCTACTTATACCCAAGTTCAAGAGCCAAACAAAAAGGATACCATGATGAATGGCATCAAAAACTTCTGATCAGTCAACATGAACAAGAAGAAATGCATTACCCCTATCTGAAGTTATCCAAGAACCCAGTGAATGCTATTTACATCCCATACCCTGGCCTGAATCTTGACTAAAAGGGATCCAGATAATATATTGCATGCAAAGTCCTTTGAGATTGCAGTATCACTATGTAATCCACAATATGTTAGAAACTGCAAAAACTGTCCAGACTGGTTGAGTCAAGCAATGGCCCAATGAATAAAATAAATTTATGATTATTGGCAGACTACTTCTTACTTTTTTGCTTAATGTAGATCTACCATTGGACAAGTAGGATAAAAATAATGCATCTCAACAAAAGCAGCACATAACCCCAGGGGATTGGCAAATAATAGGGAACAAAGGTAAGGGAAAGGGAAAAAGAGAAGTGTGGAAAGAGAGGAGGGTGGAGAAAAAAAGGTGTTGACTTTCAACTCTCCCTTTGCAGTAAAATAAGGCATTAACATCAAACCTCAATTTTTTACATTTCTGTAATAGTATGAACTAGCCATTTGTATATGAACAAATCAATCTAATCAATAAAGCCCAAAATCAAAGTATCATTTTTTCCATCTCAACCACGAAGTCCAGAAGTAGTTTTCAAGTAGAAACAAAAGTAATTATATTCTTTTCTTTTATCAAATAGTCAGTTTAGCCATCTCTGATAATTCCATCAACTTTTGTAGCCATTATCCATGGTGAGAATCAAAACATATTACCCTTTTTGTGCATACAGTAGTCTTGCTGCCATCAACATATATAAAATCAGAGTTCCAATTTTTTTCCCCCAAGTCTTTTTCCATTAGACCCAGAAGAAAAGTTTCTGGTTTAATCTTTATATTCACTTTAAGAATTTTCTCCATTAAAATATGAATTCTACTCCAATATTTCTTTGTTTTATCAAATGTCCACCATAAATGATAAAAAGTCCCTTCTTTATATTTACATTTCCAATATTCATTGGAGATAACTTTATAGATTCTAGATAACTTATCTGGTGTTAAATACCAGTGGTACATCTTCTTATAAAGGTTTTCCTTTAAGTTATAGTTTAGTGTGAATTTTAAGCCTTTTGTTCACATATTCTCCCATTGTTCAAGCATCACATTATACCCAAAGTTCCTTGCCCACTGAATCATACAGTATTTTTCATGTTCACTTTCCAAATTCAATTTCGATAATGTTTTGTAAATCTTAGCAATAATATGGCCATTGCTACAAAATAGTAAAATTTCCAATTTGTTTTTAACAAAGTAAAACCCATGACTTTTTACCTACTTTGAATCTTTCTTTCATTTGTAAGTATGTAAGCTAATGGCAGACATGACCTTCTAATTCTAACTCTTCCTTAGACCTGAGGGTAGTGTCACCAAAATTAAAATATATGGCTTTGTGTCTCTCTCAAAAGAAGGTAAAGATATGTGTAGATTTCAAATTCATATTCTAATTCTATTCTTTCCACAAAGTATTACTTAAGATTACTGAGGGATTATCAATGGTTTCCTTGGTGTCCTTGGGATATTGCAACATTGGGTGCTATAGAGGTTTACAGAATTATTCTATGGTAACATAACAATGTATCTACAAAAAGTGAGGCGACCAGCTATCCACCCACCCAAAATGAAGAATGGAAATGGAAATACTTGCTTCCTACTTGAAGTGGAGTAAAAGCTTGTATTAGCATGAAGATAAACTCTTTTTCAACCGAAGAATAGTTACAACTGCTCTACTCAGATGAAACTACCTGAAGACACAGGAAAGTTGCATTGGTAATGGTGTCTTGGAATGAGAAATGTATGTAAATATCAAAGTATCTCTACTCATTATTCACCTCTTTTTTCTTTTCCCTTTCCCTTTCAAGGGAATGCCAGCTGCCAGTACCAGTGATTAAGAGGATTGTGTTTTTCCCCTGTCTGTCCTCCTGGCTCCTTCCTCATTGGAAATTGGATTGCCCTGTAGTGTGCTGTAGACCAGGGGTGTCAAACTCGCAATGTCACGTGATGTGTTGTGACATATTGTGACTTTTTTGCCATTGCTGGCAATGGGATGGGCATGATTTCGCTGTGATGCATCCAGCCCGTGGGTTGGCAGTTTGACACCCCTGCTG